GGGGGGGGGGAAGTCTGTCTTTTAGATGCTTTTTTTTTTTCCTCGCAATGGCCTATTCTGGCCACCTTTGCTCCTGTCTTCCTTCAGGACTTTCCAGTTCAGGATAATGCAACTCTTTCTCCTCGTCAGTGAGAGGAAGGTTGCTACATGAGTTTCAGACAGAAACACACTTGGAAACACAGACACTCTGGCTAGAAAGTCTTGCTCATAAGGGATGACAGCATTAGAAACCCAAATTACAGTTTCCAAGAGACTCTTCCCATCTACTTCATTATAGCACCTGGAGGTCTTTTGGTCCATCAGCCAAAGTCTTCACCAAAACACTGAAATTTCCTTACAAAAGCAGCTGGTTTTGTTGTGAGAGCTAAGCAGGGGAAATGCCGTGAGGTTAAGCCAAACTCCACCAAACCAACTGAGGGAAAAGTTTTTCGACTAATTGAGGTTGAGGGCTGGTGCCCCTCATATTCTCGGCTTGACGCTTAAGAATTATCTCCATGGCTATTACAGATCTTTAGCTGCCACTTCCCTTCCGCTCATCCTCAGTGCATATAGGGATGGTCTGTTGGCCTTTACAGTCCTTCCACTAATTTTCAGTCTACGTGTCTAGTCATTTAAAACTAACAGCAAAACCAAGAAGTCCAGAGAAGTGCTTTACTGAGAAGTGGAGGCTTAATTTATAGCTATCCTTTCACACGTTGCTTTTCTTACGCTTTATATGAAAAAAAACATCATCCTCCTTTTTTTTTTTCCTCTTTCTCCACAGTGCAATTAATGCATTCCTCGCATTTGCTGCTCTCACTTCTATTATGTTCAAGATAATTTAACTATATCCCCTCCTGATCTTTGCTTTGGCTAAGGAGAGTCATTCAGCCTCTGAGGATGATTCTTAGGCTGATCTTTGTTCCCACTTCTCTCCCATTTTTCATGATTTGAGAGAGACAGAAGAAAAACTCACTAGCTATTTTCATAATTCAAGTGGATTACCACCATCCAAATGTTTTATACTTAGCCATAAGTAGTCCTTCTAGTCCACAGTGCTCTTCACTACTGCTTATATTCTCATTGTGTTTTTCTTGCTAAGATGCGTATTAACTAGGAGTACTTCAGCTTTTCAATAATCTCATTTCCTCTCCTCCTTTGCTCTGTTCTTAAACTGCTCTACAGTCATGCCCCCAGAGACTGCACAGGAGTAATGAACACCTTACTAACACCTTACTGCTGTGGCCAACTTGCCAGTGTTGTTTAGAGCTAACGACCTCTCTTACAATGCAGTCACTGGCATGCACTAAAACAGCCTAAGCGCACTTCTAATCCAATATAGGTTAGCCAGGCCGCAAGGAGAAGTGTAATGCCCTAGGATTTTACTTGTCACTCCAAACCTTCTATTAGTTGATTGCTTGTTGTGCTGATTGGGGCTGACCCACTATCGAGGGCGGCAAACTGCCTTAGACAGTTAAACAGTTACTCAGTTTATGGACTGCGGCTACTGAAACCAATTTTGTTTTGGATTGACATGAACTTGCTCACAGCTGAACTAGAGCAAGCTGAGGGTTCAGTAAGTCTCTGTGCTGGTCTCGGTCATGTAACATTCTCACTTCAAGAATGCGTATTTGGCAACCCTTGGCTTGTGTCACCTGCTGACCAGCCTCTGCAGGAGCTGTATGAACACCCATGGTCATGCTTCACCTACTTGTGACCCACATCCAGATAACCCCAGGAAATTCACCTCTCTGATTGTGTCAACATAGCCTATCTGTCTCCCTCCTCTCGAGCTCAATACAAAGAAAGAGGTTAAAAATTCTTTAAAATTTCTAAGTGTTTCTAAGCTCACTGATTCTGGATCTGGCATGCTCACACTTCATGATTTCAAGGCTGAGTAAATGCTTCCTCTAACTATATGAAGGTATTTAAAAACAAACAAACAAGCAAGATGACAGACATTACAGACCTGCTGCGATATGTTTCTTTAAGGTGATAAAGACATACCTTCCGTTGTATGGGTATGGTTTTCTCGCTCTTCTGTCTTCCTCGTTTCTATCAGATCCATGCCTCTGGTGGTGCCTGTATTGCTTTTCTTGGTATCGTCTCCCGGTGTGAGACATCTTGGTTCTTACATGTATTCTTTCTTTCTAAAATAACTTCCTGAGTCAAAGAAATAAAATTGGTTCATTTTATAGCTCGGAGTTATTCATTGACCAGCACTCATCTCCATTTGATGCTGATTCAATACTTAGTACAGACTTCCTTAAGGAAGTTAAACCCTTTAAACTACAGGTAAACTAATTTCTATTAAAGAAGGAAGCTTTTAATTTTCCTATTCATCAAGTAATTGTAATGTTTCTACGCTAAATGTTTATTGCACTGGGCTTATTTACTAGGTCTGCTCTTACTCTCTCACCTTTGCTGCAAGGATAAGGCATGGTGTCCACTAAGACCATGAATACTGGCTTAAATGTTGTCTCTTACGTGAAGTATTGAACCCAGCAAACTCCCGAGCCTTGCATGAGCGTGCATACAGCTGCCACCCATGGCAGGGCGAGCCTGAAAACACAGGCTAGAAACTTGGAGGACAAAGGTCACAAGAGGAGGGCACCCATGGGTGTAAACAGATGCAGCACCAAACATCACCTGTGATTTGGGTAAGCGTTAGGTAGGCTGGGCTGTAAACAGGTTTACAGGAAGCTACATCCTGGATAATTTCGTATTAAATATTACGGGGACCTCATTTCCTGAAAGTGTCTTTACCCTTTCAAGTGCAGTACACTTAAGCTCAAAGCCGTAAACCACGGAAACGCACAGTTTAAGCATCTAAGAACTCTTTTTCTTCTCATTTGCCTTCATCACAGCCCTTCAGCATTACCACAGAAATGCCTGCGGTCGATTTAATCTTGACCAATCAAGCTGAGGACCTGCTTAAGGACTTCCCTTCCGTCTCCGTAGGGTGTCACTGAAGAAATAAATTAATTTTTATTTGATTACAACTAACAAAGTGACAATGCCTTCCTCAAGGCAAGCTCTGCTCCGGACAGAAGCCATTAGGCAAGTAGCAGCCCCACACCTTTCCCCAGGGGTGATTTCTGGTGCCTCAGTGCTGCTATCGTGACCCGAAGCCCCTTCACCCCCACGGGAGTGACCCTGAGACGGGGGCCAAGCCTGAGGCCC